GTACGTACGTAGTCACAAATCGCTACCTTGAGGTTTTCTGTTCCATGAGGTTTTTGTTTAGAAAATCTTGGTTGGGAATTGTTTTTGGAAACACTACAAGCTTTTGTACTTTGCCGGCATCATTATATATATACGTATATAGGTACGTACGCATATATGTATGTACTAGAGCTCCTCATTTTCTGTGGCAACTGCCCCCAAAATCCGTATGTGCTACCTGTTTATTTATGCAAGAAATTTTTTAAAATATGCGAATTAGATAGAAACGTATGTATGTAGATATCAAGAATCTGAAACATGAAATTTAGTTCTTTATTTATAAGAAAAATTATAATACAATAGCGTGAAACCTGCAATAGATTCTAGCTAAATCCACTACAAAAATCACGTAATAGTAAAAATCTACATTAACACAATGTACTAGCCCTAGTATGTATGTTGTATTTATATCTCTATAATGTGCACCGATAAATATTAAACAATAAACCTGAATTTGTTATAGTAAGATTTTTTTTAAGTGATAATACCCTATAATAAGCTACCCCCTATATTTGAGTATAAATTTCTTGAAAATCGTAGATCTCGAAATTAAGCTACTTATTGATTTTTGTGTTCAAAATTGTTTAAAAAAGGGTAGCTTATTTTTGAAAACATACGGTAATGACAATAACAATCTATATGTTGTTTGTGACCAAGTGATTTTTAGAAGATTAACCTTCTACAAAGAAGCCCATAGTGATGTATGACTTATTTTTGGGCAATGGCACATATCTAAAGACATGTGTAGTGTATTAATTACTGTATTTTCTGGATACAGGATATATAATCTTGCAGCAACTCTTGAAGTAAAATACCTTGACAAGTTTGAATACATAATAGACTACCGGGCAACATGTCATGTTTTAGAATTAATTTGGATCATGGTCGGGATTGCTTTATATCAGTATATAAAAAGTAAAGAAAAAACTATGGAAGATATTTTGAGTAGTAATAATAACTTATTAAAAGTATGGTACCTCTTTTTCCATTGGACAGGGTATTTTATAGGTCATAAAATTAGAATTAGAAAAGGAGATTATAAGTTGCAAATGGCAAATTTGGCTGCCTTTGCACCTCTTTTTCCTGCTGTCAGAAAATATAAATATGCAAGTTCTGTCGCACATTTTTTAGCCCAAGTACATAGCGATCTACAGTTTAAGATATTATTACAAACCATTTGCTCTGTAAATCTTATAAGCGAAGATCATTATTTAGCTTTTGACAAAGCACTTGAAACATATGGTGTGAAGTTTATAAAGCAAAATATTGTTAGTAATTTTACCGATTAACAGACTATGATGTCGAAAATTAAAGCTGCCTAGAGTGAGAGAAATCGGTTATCAATGCTTCTTGCAGAATATACTGATGATATTGTAGTAAGCCAAAATGCCTATACAATTAAATCACGCAAAGATTCGCTCTGGTTTCTGGCTACAAAATTATTATCTGCCTTTGATCATTCGAATTCTACAACCCACTATCTTTTTGAAGATGCACCGGAAATTAGTGAAAACAGAATTAAAGATATTCTTGCTCTCTATGAAAGAGGTAAATCACATTTTCAATGGCTATTAGCACAAGATGTATACAAAACGAACCTAAAGTAACTTCTAAACGTTGTAAATGGGATATAAAATACTATAACTCTTTTCAACTTGAGAAAAAACGAAAAAGCTAAAAAAACATTTCTACTCAAGTTCAACAAGGTCCTTCTACATCAGAGCAGATATTATCATCTGAAGTTTCAAGACAGCATCACACCACTACAGAAGCAGAGAAAACTATACTAGCTCAATTATGGGAAAGTGATGAAAAATTAACAGATGCCATAATTATGAATATAGTATCAAGACTTAACACAGTTTCCTCAAGTTGGACAGTCGAAAGAGTTAAGCAATATTGGAATAATAACTGGCGCAAATATATTCAAAAATAATATATACTGTAAAACCTCCATAAATGCGACCCCTGTAGGTGTACATCTTCTCTAAATGCACGCTCAAATTTGAGCCCAACTATATAGATGATCTCCATAATGCACTTTTTCTTATTTTTCTTTAAGTGCATGTTGGTAAAGTTTGGCCCCAAATGTGTGCACTTATAGAGGCTTTACTGTATTGTGCAAATTAATAAAAAGAAATTAAAATATTTTTTTTAAATCGTATAATGACTTTTTTTTATTCAAAGTTAAAAAATCTGATATTGTCTTCACACAGATCTTACAATATAGTAATTCACCATTTTTACAAATCTAATATTTGAGATTGTGAATAATTTGTTATTACAAATATATTCAGAACTCTTACCCAAGCTATTGAAATAAAGCTACACTATTCTTGACCGTTTTAGTAAAAGTAATGAAGAATAAAATCACAGAATATTCTGAATTAATACTATATATATACCTTATAAAAACAATACCTTCTAGCAAACATTTAAAAGTTACAAGTAAACTGTTCTTATACTAATAATAAGTCTTGTAGTACTTTTCATTTGCTACTATTAACGAAGAGATCAGGCCTTAATATACAATGTTTGAAATAAAATCTTAAAGTTTAGGTTAAAAAATTGCAATTTTCAAACATGATTTTATTGTATATAAAATAAAGTAGTAAGTATGTTTTTTTATATAGAAAGAAAGGGCGAAGCTCAAAGAATACTTGCTTAAAAGTTAAAGTAATTATTATTTATTATTTAGTTGAAGAATTATTTAAAAAAAGTCACAATAATGCATATTACACAAAAATTATCTATATGAAAATCATCAGTACAGACATGTTCTGTGACTGATAATGTCAAAATCAGGTATAATATAAAATCAAAATAAACTTTGTTGTTTTTTTAAAAAACCTTTAATATCTCAAAATTTCGCTTATAAAACTATTTTTTGTGTTCTAATAAAAAAAATTTTTTGCAAAATTTTGGTATAAACTATATTTTTGCTCTATTTCAAGCTTTAACTCTAACTCTAATATTAATTAAATTTAATCTTTTTTAATTGTTTATTTATTTTAATAATAATTTTTATATTACACAAATACTGGTGTTGAACACTACTGATGTGCTTTAGTATAACTATTCTTTAATAATTTAAATATATATTTTAAGAGATTTTATTAAGAGTTATAATACCATTCTATATAAAAAAAAAGCAGTTTACAAAGAGTTGAATTGATCTTGATATTGTACAATTTATATACAACTTTATTAATTTTTTTCAGATTAAGTATAGCAAACTTCTAATATTATAATAATATAAGTCTGATTATATTATTTGCTATATTATTATATTTATATTTTGCTAAAATCATATCAAGAGTATTACTAAACTATTTTTTTTTTTTCAACTTTGGTAGTCTTGCTAGTGATTCTTTATTAAGGTTGTTTTATCACAGGCTGTATAAGATACTTTAAGCTTAATATTTAGACCTGATATCCCGCAGTTACTTCTATAAGCACTTACAAGTGACTTGCTATGCTAGGCCAATAAATCTACAAGTGACATATTACAGTAAATTGCCAGAAAATTCAAAGATCACCTATTCTATAAAGTCATATCAGACTATCGCTCTACAATAGGATATCGCCAATCTGATGATATTTTCTTGTAGGGAAGTGAAAAAAAGAAAAAAAATACTAATACTAATACTAATACTAAAAAGAGGAAAGGAAAAGAATAAAAATAAAAAAAATCTAATAATCACAATTATAAGCCTGTGTTGGGCTAACAAAAATTACATATTACAAGATAAAGAAGCTTTGTATCTAACTCTATCCTAATAATATATCTAATCTATATAAAAAAAAATAAAAATAACAGATTTAAACTAAACTAGACAGAATAGTTAAAAGACACCATTAGTCTCGAAGTATTGTTTAAATGGTTTCTTTCGATTGAGGCATGTCACCTAATAGTATTGTTCTTCAGATATGTTTGGTTGCTTATTCTGGCCACTCATCAATTTGTA